GGCGGCGGTTTCGGTTCCCCGGGGGGCCGCGACCTCGGGGCCTGCAGGCGGCGCAGGCCCCGCGGGAACGTGCTGCGGGCTGGGCCGAGGGGCAGCGGCCCAGCCGGGCTGGGAGAGCGCCCGGCTCCCCGGCCCCGCTCCCCGGCCCCGGCTGCCCCCGGCCCGGCCGCCCTGGCAGCCGCAGCAGCAGCAGGGAGGCGGGATGCGGCCCGTTGGGCGCCCGGCACACGGTGCTGCGGGGCCCTGGCCCGGCTCCCCAGGGAAGGAGGCGCCGCTCGTCAGCACGGGGCCTGTCCGCCTCGATAGGGACCCGCGCGAGGGCCTGGCCCGGCCCTGCTCCGTATCGGCCGTCTTCACCCGGGCAGGTCCGGCAGGATGGCGGGAGCCCCTTCCCCTGGGCTGCGGCTCCGAGCGAGCCCGGATGGCGGGAGCCCCTTCCCCTGGGCAGCGGCTCCGGGTGAGCCGGGATGGCGGGAGCCCCTTCGCTTGGGCAGCGGCTCCGGGTGAGCCGGGATGGCGGGAGCCCCTTCGCTTGGGCAGCAGTTCCAAGGGGACCGGGATGGCGGGAGCCCCTTCGCTTGGGCAGCGGCTCCGGGTGAGCCGGGATGGCGGGAGCCCCTTCCCCTGGGCAGCGGCTCCGAGCGAGCCGGGATGGCGGGAGCCCCCTCGCTTGGGCAGCGGCTCCGGGTGAGCTGGGATGGCGGGAGCCCCCTCGCTTGGGCAGCAGTTCCGAGGGGACCGGGATGGCGGGAGCCCTTTCGCTTGGGCGCCGTGCTGGCGCACACAGCTCCGAGCAAACCCCCTCCTGCGGGCCCAGGAGCGCCGGCAGCCCCAGCCCATGCCGAGCTCCGTGCTGCCCGGGGGCTCGCGTGCCCCAAACCACGTGAGGGAGGCAGCAAGTTCCCGGAGGCCGAAACTCATGAGGAGCTGATGGGTCTTCCTCGATGGAGCTGCTTGCACATGGCCTCTGCGCTAGCTTCTCTCCCTGCTCCTTACCTGGTGCCTGTGCTGGCAAGGCCCTTTCCCTGTCCTGGGTGTCCCGGGCTGCCCTTGCTGGGGATGAGAGCTGGCTGTGGTAACGGGCGGCCGTGTGGGACAGCCGGGGTAGCTCCCCCGTGTCCCCAGCRGTGCGTTTGCACCGGGGAGGCCTATGGGGTAGCTGGACCCACAGCCGTGGTGGGGCAGGAGGAGCCTCGCGCGCACCCTGCACTGCCCTGGCCCCGCGCTGACGGAGCTGGGAAGCTGTTGGTGCCTGTCCTTAACAGGACCCCGGCCCCTGGCTCCCCGCACGGATACACGGTGGGTACCGGGTGGTGTCCAGGTCTTGGCGTGCGTCTCGAGCCTGGTGCTGGCCGGCTTTCTGTTTCGCGTGACATAAACCTTTCCCTTCTTTTGCTCTTAGGACTCTAACAAGCRTTAAAGCACAAAAATCATTTAAAAAGTTGTTCTTGGATTTCTGTGCTTTTACAAGTATATGTCATGGTATATACTTTCCCTTTCCTTAGCGAATGGTCACAGTTTTGATAGGCCTATTCTTAGGTGCTATAAAACCAGCAAGTCCCTAAAGCCTTGTTGTATATGCCCACTTGTAAACAGTAGCAGCTCCTGGCATGAAGCAATGAGCAGCTCTTACATGTAGAGTTCTGTTGGGACCACAACAATTCCACGTAGGCAGCAAATTAGTAAGTGTATTAAAGAGTAAACTTACTGATTCCAGGTTCCWATGGCAGGATTTAAGAACATGTCATCAGTGCAAACTGTGTTTGTGAGTGATCTCCTGCTTGGTGTCTCCCTGTTTGATTCTTGTGGTCTTGCTCTTAAACCAGAATCTAGATGTACCTCTTTACATTCAAGTATTTTTGCTTTGTAATTTTTTCTAGGATACTCTGTATGTTTTTTAATACCARGTTTTCTTCAACCAGCCCAACAGAACTTTTGCTGTCCTAAAGGGGAAGAGTTATGTTGGTATCTAGAAGTCACTAAGTTCAGCTCCAACAGTGTTTAGAATAATAACACATAGGATCATCTCCAGAGTCCTGCAGTAAATGTTATGGAGAGCTCCAAAGCCCAGATGTGGAGGCCAGGTTTTAACAGCAGGAGAGAATTTAGTAGACAGTAAGTAATTTCCTGTCTGCCTTTCTACCCTATTACRCATGCATGTGGTCTGAGGATAGAACTGTGAGTTGCACTGTACAAAAATCGATACATAAAAGATGGTGATGTTAGGTCTGGAGCTTAAAAAAAAAATAGTGGTTCTGGTTCTGAGTATGTTGCTTTTTTTTTTTTTTCTGCTCAATTAACAAAAGGAAGAGCTTGCTACAGTTAGTAACATGAGATTGTAATTACAATGCCAACTAAATCAATTGGTTTACTGCAATAATTTTTAAATAACAAATGAACTTTGTGAATTAAATAATAGATGTGTTTTGCATCTCTCGAAAAACAATTGAATTTATAAGCCAATGCAAATCAAAAGTTAAAACATCTGGTTGCAAATAAGAATAGTCTGAAGTCGGCAGCTTGGTTGAAGTGATTGAAGATCAGTGGTTAAAACTTGCTGGGATGGAGAGGAAGGAGTTTTTTCTCTGGATCTGTGTCATAGGACTGAGGAGGTTCATGCAGGGAGGCCGTAGCAGCCCCACTCCACTGCTGAAAGCTGTCGGGACACAGGATTAGGCAGGTAGTCTGACTGTGTCCTGCAGCTTCAAACTGAGACATTCATCTAATCAAGAGCTCCAGCCTAACCAGATCCTGGGATCTGAGGATCGCTGAGGAATCACTGTGATTCCCTGCCCCTCAGCCATGCCAGGGCTGGAAGCATCAACACAGGCAAAGTAGTCAGTGCTGGGAAAGATCTTATATCCTGCTGGCCTCYTTACCACTGTTTGAGATTTCTCATAGTTATAAGCCATGTCAGCAGCTTCGGGCACTTCTGTTGCAACTTCTTCTGCAACTTTTTGTGTTTAAGGCTTTATGTGATTTATTTCAGTTACGCATTCTGCTTTGTGTTAGCTGGCAGAAGTCTTTATATTAAAACTATAAACATAATATAAAATAAAATATATTTTATATCATATATTAGATAAATATAGCATGAGGTATRCATAATATGTGGTGTACCTAATGTATAGTGTATTGTATAACGCATTTTTATTTATAGTTTTTTTAATGTATATGATTATATTTTAGTGGAAATGGGGAGTTTTATGAGAATGGGCAAAGTTAATAAAGCTTTACAAAATACTGGAGAAGGAGGGAAGGAATTTGTGAAAACATGTTTTGCATTGGAAACTARTTAAATAAATGCAGGCAGTTTTATCTGAGCCACGTCCTTCTAGATTTTGCAGCTAGCAAATGTGCTTTCTGCAGATAACTGCCAACCCCAGAACAAAACAAGCGTGGTAAACTACACTGTGAAGGAAGATAGGGGTGTATTCATTTAGTGTCACTTGCCTTCCTAGCCTTGAATGAAGTAGTAGTTGATCTGGGCAAGCTGAACATTTTGGTTTCGCCATTCTCTGGAAGTACTTAGCAGTTCCACAAACTTTATTTTCATCAAGTGATTTTTGTTTGATTGCTCCTTTTGTAGTGGATTTGTAGTGGATAAAATCAACATGTAAAAATCCTCATTTTTAACAATCTGTCCTGGTGATAAAAGTGCTTGGGTCTCTTTCTCTGCTTGTAGCCTTTGGTGAGGGCCTGCAAGCTGCCAGGTGGGCTCTCTGCACGGGAACTGCAGCAGAGCTGGAGGTTTCGGCCACACCGCAGGGACAGGCTGTCACTGCTGTAGAGGTTCAGGTCGGCTGCCTGCACGTGGCCTCTTCCTCGAGGGTTCCCTGGAGCAGAGAGGGAACAAACTGCGGGAAAGGTRCATAGGCATTAGTTCACGAAATGCAGGAGAGACTGGTGTTGGGTTTTGCACAAGTTAAGGGTAAACTGACCAGTACTTACATCATAATCACAGTTCTTCAGACTTAAAATTCTGCTAAAGACCCTTGTGACAACACAAATTTATATTAAATACAATTCAGACAGCAATTTTTTTCAAATGGGATTCTTCCTCTTCCTCTCAAGATGCAGCCTTTGGGAACTTGAACTGAAAATCTTGCTTTATTCTTTGTCGCTGGCATATGGAATCTGAACACTGATTCTCTTTCGCTTTTATCACCTAGGTAGTTTAACAGCTGCATTTGGGTTTTATGTGTCACAACTGSATAAGTCAGATCTCAGTATCATAGTATTGTAGTAGGGAGGAAAAAAGACTGAAGGGTAGGAAAAAAAAATCCCCCAAAGCAGCAAGAAAAACAGAGGCATGTCCTGAAAGTATTTAAGTGTTCTGTCCTAAATGGTAATTTATAAGTCAAGTAAGAAATATTTGTGTGTGTGTGTGTGTGTGTGTATATATATATATGTCTATTTATCTTGGTTGTTATCCAAGACATTATTTGCATTCTTTATATAGCACAGAAGGGACATTTTCCTTCTAAGTAAAATTCAATTTTGAAGTAGAATTTCTTTAAGAACTAGTGACAGTATTAGAAAAATCACTGCTTCTGCCAGTGTTTCATGTCAGTAAACATGCACATACCGTTTCTGCCATGTGTAAAACACTTGGCAAAACAGTAATGATTTTGAAGTACTCAACTTGCTTTCTGCTGTCCTTATCCTTGGATGTGGCTTTAATATTTAGTGCCTAATAGTGGCCTTCTATGCGCTCRCTGCCCAGGATGAAAAGATACGAACCTGTAATCCTGCAATTTATTCACACAGAATAGGCATAAGCTATAATTCCAAGTATTCTTTACAAGATGGGAATTCTGGATTTAAAAAAAAAAAAGTAATTTTGCACAGAAAGGAGCTGGTTTTGCTCTGGGCAGCAGCAGGGCCCCTGGCAGGCCGGGAGCAGGGAGCGCTGGGGCCTGGAGCAGCTGTGGCCGGGAGCAGGGAGCGCTGGGGCCCGGAGCCGCAATCCCGGGGCCCAGAGCCGCAATCCCGGCGCCCTGTGTGTCCTCACGGGCTCCCCGGCACCCGCGCAGGGCCCCATGTGAGGGCGGCCTCGCAGTCCCAGCAAGGCAGCTCCCTTGCTCTGGCAAAGGAAGGTGCTTCCTGCGTTAGGAGGGGGACTGCTCTCCATCCGCTTGACAATTAGTGCTGTTTTCCAAGGATGAATGTGCCTCCGATGATTCTGATGATACAATTCTAGCTAGCGTGATGTTATGGAAGAGTTTTTCCCTTGGAAAACTGACCTTTCACTTTTTTTTTTGAATCTATTTTTTATTGTAGTTCTTCTCACCTGATCTTTGTACAAAATTCTAACATTGTCCTCAGGTGACAACTAAGCATTTAATATGATATTAATGAAAGAATTTGGTTGCGTTGATTGTGCTGCCTTCATTAACGGAACGTGCCTGAAATAAATATTCCTGAAGGAAAATTTAAAGGTTCTGCACTGTGAATGGCTAAATGCCAAAATGCTGGGTTTGATTAGTGTAGAGAGGCTCAGAATATTGTGACATTTCTTCCTGTTTCTTCTTGTGGGGGTTGGGTTTTTTTGTTTTTTGTTTTTTTTTAACAAAGTCTTGGGAAAAGCTGCTGTTTAGATACATTTTTTTTTTCTTTTAGTCATTAGGAATTGGTTAGATCATAATTAAGTCATTCTAAATGAATGCAGCCCACATACAAGGTAAATAAAATTTGATTCGGGTGTGTGCGTGCATGTGTTTGTGTTTTAACACCAAGAATTTAGAAATTTGCTTCTGCTTCATCCCACTAATCTAGCTTCAAAAATCCCTGGCTCAAGTGAGATGGAAAGCCACTGTGGAAGATGGATCAAGTATGATAGCTGTGTTACTCTTGCTACAAATATAATCCACTGATCCTTTAAATCATAGTGTGTTTTTCTTCTTGATTTCTGTGGGGGTTAGATCAAAAGATGCTTAGCTTAAAAATTGAGAAAATGCTGATTTTTTTATTTTGGCAGGACTTATAGTATTTTTATATATATTATTTTATATATATATTTCATATATATATATATATATATATATATATATAGTTTGCAATAAGCCCATACTTACATAAATACATCTCCTTGAGCATTTATGTCAAATAAGCCTGAGATTCAAAATGTCTGGCTGGGTTCTGAATGTGACAACAGTCAAATTCTCCACAAGGCTGCTTGTCTGGCACATCCTGGTTTGGAATTATCCATGACCTGTTTCTAAATCATTAGCTCATACCAAATAAGAATGCCTCTTCTAGCTGCCAAAGAAGAGTATCTGTTCCACATGCAATGTGCTTACAGTTTGGAAGTAAATAATTGGGTTGGATTTTCAAGTAAAAGCTACAGCTCTACATTCTTGTAACACTTGGGCATAATATTAAAAAATCTAACATTTGGGGTTTTTTTAGGTGCCCCTCATTTTAATCTTATATATATGGTTCAGCTGCAGCAAGATGGGCAGAGGTTACTCAATTTTATGCATTTTCTTTTGACTTTCTTGTAACAAATTCTTGTGTTCTGTTATGCCTGCAAGGCATAGACAATTTGTATGTGGAGTTTAGAACTTTATGTTAGGAGATGCCTTAAAAATGTGGCAGAAGGCAGTTGTTCTCCATCCCACAGTATCCACTGGAAGGTTCAATGATCGATTTGCATTATATATCCAGGATAGCAGGATTGCCCTGTTTTCATCAGATCTTCTTTGCTTTAAAACGAAATAAACCAAAACACTTCCCTTGAAGTTGTAATCACTGGTAATAAATTGTCAGTAATCGCTAAGTCGTTAGGATATTGGAGTTTCCACCGTTCAGCTTTTCCAACTTACGTACACGTGCGAATCCCCTCTGAGGTGGGTTCCTACCGAGCAGTCTGCACCTTTCCCTTAGATATTCTCTTGCACAGCACGAGGTTCCCTCTAGCTAAAATGTACTCGCAACGTGTGTGGTGTTAATGCTTGGTAGTGTTTATTCACTGGCACTATGTGTTTCTTGAGCAAACATACAGAATATCACAACACTCAGAGTGCTGACATAAACATTTATCTGCTCATCGTTTGCAGAAGCCAGGGAAATGTGGACACRGTTTCCTTGGAGCCTTGATCTTGCTTCCTTGT